CCCTGGAGGACACCATGTTTGGTAAAGTGGATGGTCAGCGAAAAAGACAAAGACCCCCCAACAAGATGATTAACACAGTGGCATCAACAATGGGCTCAAGCATAACAAAATTGTAAGGATGGCAGTGTTTTGTTCTGTTGTGGATAGTGTCGCTATGAGTTGGAACAGACTTGAATGCACCTAACAGCAACATGTAGACGACATACCTTGCTTACTAAAAGCAAAGGCAACTTAAAACACTTATTGATGAAGATGAAAGACTACAGTTTTCAGTATGAATTACACCTCAATGCAAAGAAAACAAAAATTGTCACAACTGAACCAATAAACAAGATCATGATAAATGGAGAAATTGAAGTTGTCAAGGGTTTCACTTCACTTGGGTCCACAATCAACACTCATGGAAGCAGCAGTCAAGAAGTCAAACGTATTAGGCAAATCTGCAGTACAGTGTTAAAGAATAAAGAAGTCTCTTTGAGCAAAGATAACAAAGATGTCATGACATTTTCAATTGCCAGTGAAGAACTGATACGTTGAAATTATGGTGTTAGTGAAGAATATTGAATATACTAACAGAAGAATGAACAAATATATCTTAAAAGAAGTACAGCCAGAATGCTCCCTGGAAGAAAGGATGACAAGACTTTGTCTTAAATACTTTGGTCATGTTTGCTGAGCAGGACATCATGCTTGGTAAAGTGGAGGGTCAGAGAGAAAAAGGAAGACCCCCAATGAGATGAATTGACACAGTGGCTACAAGAATGGGTTCAAAAATAGCTATGAGTATGTGGATGGCCCAATGTTTCATTCTGTTGTACGTAGGATTCTATGAGTGGGAAAAGACTCGATGGTACCTAACAACGAGTTTATATCTAAAACAACAAGTACTGGTTATGCTTTGAAATAATGACATTTGAAATCTGCCATTGACATGGGTATGAATTCAGACTAACAATTGAAACCAGTAAATTAAATTTTGTGATAAAATTGAACAATGAACTAAAGCTTTGGATAAATACGAGGTGCCTGCCTTTCAATTGTAAATCTAGCTTTTCAAATGTTGACACATATAAAAATAATGAGTTCTGGTAGCTATTTTGTAATTTATACAACAGATGTATTAATTAACTTTTTGGGGGGTTTGGACAGTTGTATGTTTGACTTACAATTAAATGTCCTCATCACCAAAAGTTTGGCTACAAATCTAATTTGCATACAAAATTAGTTTTACTAGTACAAAACTTTCCTATGCACACAGAAATCTGAACCTAAAATTCAAGGTTAAAGAAGTTCAATTTAATAAACCTAAAATAGCAAATTAATTTATTCAATTTGGAAATTCACATTCATGTGTATCCATATTATGAATATATATTCCATGTGAATGACCTTTGTCCTTTGAGAAAGTTTATTAAGACTACCCCTTGGGAATCACAAAAAAAGAGTTACCAAAATCTTCTGAGCTGACCTCTTTGGCTCGAATTTAACTGGTTCCCCAAATCCCTTCAGACACCATTGTTTTGATTAGCCTTTTGTTTTTTAAGGCACCCTAACGGCACATAACAACATATAATGAGACTAGGAGTCCTGATGTGGCACTATAGGACAAGAAACACACTGCTAATCACAAGGTTGGTGGTTCAAACCCACCAGTTGCTCCTTTGAAACCCTATAAAGGGTTGCTA